GTCATTTTCGCTTGTAAATATATAAACGTTTCGCAGCCTGCATTGTAAACCATAAGTCTGATGATGTCTCTGGAATAAAGACGAAATATTGCACATTGTTTTGTTTCAAACTCTTGTAATATCTTGAATATCCAGTAAAAGAAGATGTCCCTCTTCGGAATTTGTTTTATTTTGTATTAAATTCTTTGTATTTAAAATACCACTGCTTCAAGTAGGCACATGTAAAAAAGTTGCTTAACTCGGTCGATTGCGTACTTGTTCTACAAAGATGCTAAGTTGAAGACTCGACGAAAATTAAATGCTTGTGTATAGATTTATAGGCAATATATCCACAGTGAATACTCTTTCAAAAAATGAGGGCCATGGATAGATTTACAATTGATATAGCTGTACGCATTGTGGGATTAAAATTTGTGCATGGTGGTCTTGAGTTTGAAAAAACTATTTGTGATAAAATCATGCTATTCACAAGATAGCTGCGTCAAATTTCATAACGAAGTTTCTCTGCAACTCTATGCTTACTTAAACCATTAAAATAAGACAAAAAATTGCAACACAATCAGCTATACCAAGCAAACAGAAAAATTTAAGGAGTTAGTCTATTTGAATAAACATAATTTGACGTTATAATTTTGTGTAAGAAATATTTTTTATCATACATATCATTCACAATCCTCATATTCCTCGTGATAGATAATATAGATAATATAGCTATGCATTAAGAGATCAAATTTTCTGCATGACAGCCTTGTCTTTGGGGAAAAAGTATTGTGACAAAATCATGCTAGTCACAAGAGACGTTGACTTTCATCACAAATTTCATTTTCAGCTATATGCTTATTTTAAACAAATTTGTTAGGACAAAAAACCTTGCAATACAACTATGGTAATACGAAGTAAAAAAGTAAATTTTGGAAGAGTCAGTCTATTTCAACAAACATTAAATATAAAGTTATAATGTGTAAGAAAATGCCTTTTATTATTCACATCATGTCATATCACTCATAATTTTCATGAATTGATTTATAGGTAATACATCTATGCATTGCATGATGAAATGTTTTGCATGACCACCCTGCGTTGTGTTTGGAACAAAGTGTTATGATAAATTGATGCCAATCACAAGATCGTGGAACAAAAATCATAGCATTTTAGTTTGAACTTTGGAATTATAAGGCATCATGTCGCAGTTACGACATATGGGATTGTCGACTATTTCGAAGTAATACCAAACTAAGTTTGGTATGATTTGTTATAAGTTATACTTTTTTTGACATGCACGAGAACTGTTGCAATGTCCATAAATTTTTCAATTAAATCTGGTTTATTTATAGTGTTGCTGGCGATGACTCACAGCTAGATCAAATTGTAACCTAGCCAACAATTGCCACGCGCTTGTTATGACTCACAGATCAAATAGTTGAAACTTAGTCAACAGTTGCCGTACATGTGTGATTATGTCTTTGGATTAATAATAGTATACAAAACCATTCACTTGCTATAAAGCCATTAACTTAAAAAACCATAAATACAGGTTTTTTTAATATTTTCGGTATATCAATATTTTGGTAGAATGAAAAAACTAATATCGATAAACCGATATTAAAAAACGATAATTATCGACACTTTGGTCTATCACAACAGCCAATAATCCATACCATCTGTCCTTAAAATCAGGGCGAAGTTTATGTTGTGGGTTGTCATCACTTGATGCCACATGATAGAGGGATGCCTTGATTGTTTTTGCCACTTTATCTATGTTATGCAGGTTCTCTCTTATTGTCAATCCATAGTAGTTTGCAGAAGGTCAATCTCAGCATCAGCCAACCCACTCTTTCCACTTGCACCTTTACCATCACTAAGGTTGACTCTTTTAGGGGAACTCTTCAACTTCCAAACCTTGCTCCCCACTCTCTTTTGCACATGTCCAATGCATTGTAGTGTCTTGGAATTGCAATTTTTTCCATATGGCTCTCTTTCAACTATTACACTATATGTTGATAAGTCACCATTACGAAACATATTCGTTTATCGTAATCCTCTTGTAGAAACAGACCGTTCAAAAATTCTGATTGCTTCACAAGTCTCCATGCTTCTTTTAATGTTGATTTTGCAGTTGTTGGAAGCCTTCCATTTATCGTATCTCGCAACATGCATTCTCATCTGCCTTTTCAAGAGCTGCTGGCACTTCTCGGAAAGCACTTCTATACTCAGACATTTCTTGGTGTCCAGCGATATAGCCGTGACGACACCCTTATGGGAAGTATGCCCTCTTATTTGCCATGTCCCATTTAGTGAGATGCCCCATTCTCCATTTTCATTGTCAAGGGCTTCATTCATTTTCATTGCACTAGACAACATACTGTCATTGGCCAACTCTTTAACAACATGCAATAGTTTCTTATTGTGAAGATTTGAGAAGTTTTTTGCGATTTAGACGAGCTGGCATGTTCGTCAATTTGTCGTCAAGCATAAAAAAGAGTTTTGAAGCTTAAATCACCCACCCCCTTCTCTTTTTGGGCATTAAGATTCTAGCCAGGAATAACTTTACGAGGTTCTTTTTGCTTTGGAAGCCGTTTCTTTTCTAGAGGGAAGTCGTTTCTTTTCTTCATTCAGTGTAGAGGAGCAGGAGATGATTCTTTATTTATTTTATTACAGAATCGGCTTGATATCTCAAACTTTTCCAACAAGGAAAGTTTCACACATCTTAGTAAGGTGTCCCATCTTTAATTGGAAAGATTAGATTACTACATCAAGTTGAACTCCACTTGGAAAAAATCGTAGATCGTCAAACATATACATATGGTTTTATCACATTCGTCAGATCATCGTTTTCGTACGTGTGCTTCAGGGTCTTGACAAGACGACCGAGCTGTGTTAAATTTTGAGAAATGAGCTGTGTGCCTCTTTCTCCGCTTTTGCAACAAGCATTTCGGAAAATAACTTGATTGAATGATCTTCCATGACAATTCCGGCAATTTCGTCATTTTTCATCAATGAAAGAATTTTTTCAATGAAATGTACTTTGTGTAATCATTGGTAATTGCCGAAAAAAATAAATTTGTAATTTTTAAGGAAAGAAAACGTCAACTACAACTGCCTGCACAAGAAAGTATTAGAAGTAAAAAGAAAAAGGTGCCAAGCTTTATTCTTAAGTTTTTATGTATGTCATCTAAAGACTGCCCAGAAACTTCTGTGAGGAGAGAACACACTTGGCAAATGCAGGATTAGGAGATAGCTAAGAGCATTGCCTGTCAACAGGATGGCAAATCAATATACCCTTTGCTTTTGTAGACTTTTCTACTAAAGTTTGCCTTTTTTATCTTTTTACTTAGTTATGATTGATGCTTCCTTCCTCCGAAATTCAATAATTAATTTTGCTCTTCAATCGCAAATGAATAACTTATCACACAAAATGCAACAGATAAACATGGCAATGGTAGTGACAAGGAAGTGGATGTAAAAGAAGCATCATTGGGTGTAGGTTGGTTATCCTGAATATAAGAATTATCAATGTATGTTAAGAAGCACTTTTGATAAAAAACGTGCTTTAATCGGTTCGAAAAATTTTTGGGGTCCCTCGAAGGCCGATTAATTAGACATAATGATGTAAATGCAAGATTTAAATTTGGAGGAAAAGCACATGCAATGAGAGCGAGTTTTAATATCCAGACGACGCAATTTAATTGATTTTACTTTTAACTTCCAAAAACTAAAGGAATGAAAGCAAAACCTCGTAAAACAGGCAAGAATAGAAGAGAAAGAATGTATCATGTTAGATCAAATTCCATACAGTTAACTTCGTATTATTTTGCCTGAATAGTATATATGGAAAATGCATACGAATTCGGAAGACCAGCAAACGCCATTAACGCACTGTATCCGCAGATAGAAACCTTCGCATTTTTTAAAAAATATTATTACTTTACATTCAAATTATATACATTCTTTATTGAACAAGCACTTTTCATTTTTGAATTGAGGGGAAATTGTAAGCAAGGCTTTTTTTTACCATTAGTTGGAAAACCTCGACTGCACACCAAATCAATTGGTCCTAATGTAGGTACAGTACGTGCAAAATATTGTGATTCATTTTATGATGTGATCCATATGATATAGGACGATAGAAGACAACATGATTCACGAACACATAAATGCTATTTTTTAATGTGGTGAAAATAAATATAATGGCACTATGAATTCTTATAACAACAAGAGTTGCACCACAAGTGGCTTTATTTAGCATGCTTACAGCAACTCTATAGATACAAGAAAGATATAATTAAGTCATATACATATTATATTATGCCCAGCATATTGTAAATTATTATCAACTTTGGTAATGTTTTGACCGCGAACTTCCACCAAGTCAGTCTATGGGTTGATATGCTTAATATAGAATAAAGTATTTTCCAAATTATTCCAATTTGCTTTATATAATGTGAACATTCTTACAACATTATTATTCCCTTTGGAAAGTTTTGGTGTTTTCAAAATTTCAAAATAAAATCTTACACAATAAAATCCAAGGTGCAAAAAAATATTTTCTCTTGTTGTTAGGTGTTGATCGCAAACTCCACCACCCCAGCTACTGGAGATAAATCTCACTGTTTCATGTGGATTAATTACAATGAAAACGTTTCTGCTCTGACTAAAGGGTTCTGTGGGCTGTCCAAAAATCTCTCCAAACAGTCAGTTATAAGAGTTATGACTGCATAATTAGTAGCATGTTTCATAAAGTCTTATTGGCATAAATGTCTAGCGTTTACATGTTCATGAACTGGTCATATGATCTGTGGTGTTGAAGAAAAATACATTATATGTAAAACAATAACACACAACCTAACTTATTATTTAAGGCAATTACTAAGGTTTGCAACTTATTGAATGAAAAAATGACAATAGTAATATTACAACGCGCCCTTTTTTGAACTGTCTCAGCATAAGGACCACACGTGAGCCATTATTAGTGTTCATAAAAATACTGTAAAAGAACATCATTTATCACAAACGACATAATATTTTATTATCAAACAATGAGAAAAAAACTTCATGATTAATTTATACTTTCAGTACAATGTACTTTATTTATAATAGTAGATTCATTGTTTGGTGCAGCAAACTAAATCATATATTATATATCCACAAAGTTTCTCGTGAGTCACAGGTTGGTATCCACATGAATACATCGTGGAATTCCCATTCTTCCAGAGCCATCTGAGCATTGGCATGTTTTCAAATGGTTGCCTAAAAATGGAGAGAAGTTAGAAACATCAGTTATATTATAAACTCTAACTGTCCGTTAAACACTTGTCTCTACCTGTTCTTTAGATCTTACTGTGACAGACATGGGCGCACACCCTCTCCTCCAGAAACAAATAGAGGCTGTTGTACTTTTAAGAAATTCATATAACTTACACATATGACTTTAAAACCATATGACTTAAAAAACATATAATTTTACATCTTAAATGATTATGACAGACATGGGTGCACACCGTCTCTTCCAAAAAAAAGTAGGGGCTGTTCTACTTGTCGATAAAATGAATTGTGAACATTCTAAATAATATTATGTATAAATTTACTGTTATAAACCGTAAATTGTAAAAAAATCAATATGAACAAGTTTTGGAAATCTTGTGAAATCAATAAACTATTATGGTTACGCAAAATTTACATGTGTACAGTGGTATTTTGCGGTTGCATATTCCAAAGATAATTTTTATTGTTAACATAAACTTTTATAATTGCAAAATTGGTTTAAGATTTGTGTCACATTTTAAGCTAATTTTACACACAAATTAAAAAAATCTTAGATCACAAACGAAATATATAAATAATTTAACCTTTAAACTCCGTTTTCTTATTATAGATAGTATACAATCTCCTTCTGGGCAGCAAATAACGAAAGATACAGGCAAAGTCCACAGATTGTATCATTGTCATTATTAACGATTGACATAATACCTCTCCCTTCTTGCAAATATTTAATTATCTACCTATTTTTTCAAAGTCTTGTTTGATTAAGTCAGGCAAGGTGTGCGAGATGTGTAAAAAAGCCAACAAAAGCATGACAACTTTCATAGGTATCATTTTGTACTGTTGCTGAAAAAGAGAGATGAATAATAGATATTAAAGATCATAATTAATTATATAATTATTTAGCAAATCTGTACAATTCAACATCATTTTAAATAAAAAGGAACATAAAAAATTTCATCGAAAGTTCAGCGAAAAATAGCTCTTCTAAATTTTAATGCGTTATGTGTTTTACTCTTTCATGTATTGATGACATAATGTCAATCTTATAAATTTATACTACATACACTGATGTATAGTACATACAAGTTTTGCATGCAGCAAACATTCTACAAAAAAACGAAATGAATAATTAAAAGACGCGTACATTCGAGATTTATTTTTTTAATCAAAATTACCTTATTAACAACTCATGTTCAGAAGATTACTATATAATCATGAATCCTTAAAAACATTAAGTTATAAAAAGGCTGATGTAATTTCGTCAGTCTTTTGCAATTCTTTGCATAATTTGAACATTTAGTACAACATAGAACAATCACAAATTCTATTATCTAAGATTCATTTATGGTTGTGTAAAAATATCAACAAATTTGGATATGATTTTTTGCCAAGTACTTAATTCAATCTCAAAAACACGTACATTAGATAGATGGGAATATCATGTTACAGAGCAACTGTTGTTATGCATTAAGTATTTTTGATAAACGACAGTATTTTTAAAATTTATATTTGCAAAAAGTTCGAGTTAACCAGAAGTCATCGTCGGTGCCAATGAATAAATTATTTACATCGAGGAATATATATATATATAATTATATGTTTGTAAATGATGATCGTCCAGGTTAATAAAGTCCTGAGAAGGACTGTTTTTGATGTTGTTGACTGACGTTTCGACAACCTTAGCGGTAGTCATCTTCAGAGTCAAAATGACCGAGTATAACGATACTCCCGGGTTCAAACCATTTACAATATATATATAAGATAGACATATAATACAAATGAGTTATTACTCTGTGAATGTAAGAATTATTTGCAAATATTAAATAATAATTAATTTACTTGCGGTGAAGATAACTTATAGTTTGCAAAAAAAAGTTTTAAAAATACTGTCGTTTATTTAAAATCTTCAATTAGTATTGTGCCAATAAGATCACATGTTGTTTCTCACTTTTCAAATGTACGTAACAACAGCATATAGCGATGGTTTTATTTTAGACTAAAGGCAATACATACTAAATAGATGCTTACCTTGATCGATTGACTTGTTCAACAAACAGACCCAGTGGAAGACTCGACGAAAATAAATTGCTTTTGAATAGTTTATAGGTAATATAGATACTCATAAAATAAAAACAATAAGATGCGTGAGCTGATTGGTCAATAGCTCTGCTTGCATCAACCTGTGCAAACTGATCTGAGCAATCTGAGCTAAGTAAATAAAATCTATCAAAGAGAATTTGCAAATCAATCATCAAAATTTTCCATTATTTTTATTAATGTATAAAAGAAAGAAAAGATGTTTTGTTTGTGTGCACTGGCTTTTTCAAACCTCCGAGACGTTTGTAAGAGCTCTTGAGCGGGATATTAGGCATCTTTTATATCTTAAGTATTACGAAATCATCTTTTCTTCAAGACAGTCATGTGTTCGGAATAGAAAGTCTTGTGACAAAATCAGTCTAATTAAAGGACACATTAATTGCGATCACAAAGGATATGTCCCTACAAATCTATGCTTATTTTTAATCATTTCATCATGATAACAAAGGCATTAATAGTAGCTACCTATTGAACATTAACAATTAAAGAGCCTTGCTGTCCACTGGAATGAACATTAAACATTAAGTTATAATGTGGCAGAAAATACGTTTATCACTTATATTTTTTCATGTAGCAGCTGTTTTAACGTAAAATTTCCGGACCAATTGAAATAGAGATGTATAGTATATAGTCATTAATGAATTATAATTCTATACAATAACAAATTCACACAGTTGCATATAATATTTAATTTTTGTGTCAATAAATAAGTATCGGTTGCATCACGAATTTTGATCGTTTTGGGGGAAATTGGTCGACTTAATTTGGAGGTATGTTTAAGGACATTGATTTCTCTGTAATAAATTAACACTTGGATTTTTATGTGACGGTTTAATGCGTGTCTTCAACATAAGAAATGACCTTATTTAATGTAACATTTATATTACTAGCTTAATTTAAAATACATAGCATTGTAGTTCAATACACATACCACAAATAACAAATAAACAGCTATCTAAAACATTGAGTTGTTTCTAATGTTTTAGTCCTGAATATGATAATAGAGGATAATATCAATCACCTATGTTGTACAGTTTCAAATTTAAAAATAATGAAAAATTAAGTTGGAAAGATGTTGGCAGCCGCCTACCCAATTGAAAGTGAGCTCTTTTTACTTGTTATTATAAAGTCGTTTTAGTTGTTTTGTTAATATGGACAAGCTACCTCCACACTTAGCAACGGTTTGATTATTCTACTTGTAACTTTAGCTATGTACCATATTTTTAAGGTTTTGACTTAATAATGACATTAAAAGATGAAAAGAGTCTTCAAATACTTATTTTTGAAAAAAGATCTATAGCTACGAAACATTTGTTTCTGGTAAAATGCACTATTTTTGGTGACTAAGCCTCTTAAAAATATTATTTTCACTGTTAAATGTTTCACGGTTTGATGTCTGTAGTTGATATTACAGACAAGTCTGACACTTCCTTTTTTGACTGTTGGCCCTGTTATCATTACACTTTTATTGTATGTTTTCGTTGTGTTAGTGGAACAATGAGTAATTTCAGCGTTGTTGCTTGTGATTCAGATTGAGTTTCATCCATGCTGAAAGAGAGAGAGAAATTGCTCACACTATGTTTGTTTGACACTGAATTTTTTAAAAACTGAAGCTCCTTGAAGAAACAGCATTCTGGTAATCTTTTCCTTCCAGCATATGACCTGATGGCAAGCTCACGTCATCCATTCTTCTTGATCTCTTTCATAGATTACTGACAAATCTCACAACATGCAGGGTGATCCTAATCAGTTTCTTTAGTGAACTGTGCTTGGTGTAGTTTATGACAGCATTAAGCGTAACAATGTTGCCTGAAACGTTATTCCTTAGCGTGTTAGTAATACAGAAAAGCTCGAAGAGAAGTGATATTTTAGCTGATTCCCTATTTAACTCACTTCCATTAGCACTGCCAGTAGCAATGTCCTGCCAACGTAACTCAAACTATATGACAGGAGAAACGAAGGTCCTGAATAGCAACAACCCACAGGCCCTTAGATACTTCTGTGTTTCCACTTGTTTTTAATGCGCACTAGTACGCACTAGTTAACTATGTATTTATATAACTCAGGAAGCATGATGAACACAGCATTAAAACAGTAGCTACTCAAAACGGACAAAATTAAGTGTTACATGCTATCATTTTTTTTTGATATCCAACCTGGAAATGTGACCTGTTTAGCTACTAATCACTTAAGGCTGATTTCCATTCAGTGTAATTTTTCGCGCGATTGACTTTTTGTGATCGCTTTTTTTTTAATTATAAGCTCTCGACCTGAACAGTTTCACATTGCTGTACACATTTCAAAAGAAAGTGATCGTAAAAAGTCGATTGCGCAACAATTTGCACTGAATAGAAATCAGCCTTTAAACGTCTTTCAGAAAGTAAATATGGATTACACGGAAATACTAATTGTCGTTAAGAAGCAGCGCAGTTGCAAGAGGTGTGCTTGATTATCTGTTTAAGATAGTCAAATGTAGAAAAGCGTTGCTGAATACAAAACCGCCAGGGGCGGATCTAGGATTTTTCAAACATCAGTCATAAAACGTCGAAGGCGCCCCGCACCTGGGGGGGGGTCTAAGGCATTCTCCCCTGAGGAATTTTTTAATTTCAGAGCCTTGAAAATGCCATTTTCAGCGTTTTAGAGCAATACAAAATGTATTTGTGGGCACCGTTTTTGCGTAGAAACAACACATTTTGCTTACGTTTTTTTCAAAAAAAAAAAAAATGAAGTGAACAATACTTGAATGTTTTGCCAAATATTTAGGCTCATTATCATGCCAAATATATGACTCATTAGCATGTCTAGGAACGTAAAATTTATTTTACAATAATGCTATTCAAAAACAGATACAGTCTTTAAAAATTTCTACCAAGTTGTCAGGCATAGACCCCCCTAGAGACCCCCGTTCAAACCTCTATGTCATGAGTTTAGTTAAGTTAGAAATTTGGTACTACAAGTGACAGTTCATAGATATAGAAAAGCTCAGACTTCAAACCATGCAAGTTTATTGTAACCCTTTACCCATCTCCACATCAGTGCCAGCAAATTCATCTTTTGAGAAAAAACTCAAAATTTTTTTCTGCCAAAGGTTAAGCAAAAATTATCAGAGTGAAAATTTGCAGTTAAGGACAGCTTAATGCCATAAATGTTTATTAGGCATTTCACTAGACTATTATCTCCTGTAAGTATATGCAAGGTGTGCTATATAGCAATCACTAGTAGCATTGTATTTGCAAATACAAACAGAATGTAACCAACATGTCTTTAATTATGTAATTACATGAATGTTAAAATTGGTTCATGTGTCATGCTTACTGGTTATGATAAATATCTTTTCATATGATCAAAGCTCGTTTAAATGTAAATTTCAAGGTTTATCTGCATACATAGGAATACATTTTTACTTTATAGAAAATGCTTTTTATATATCAATAGCCCTTTGGAATTTATGGCAAACAATCTGGTATGAGCCATAGATTAACACACCTTTACATCTCTACATGAGGTGTTCAGTTAGAAAAGGGGACAATATGTGACATGGGACAACATTTCATGTATGTGAAATACTAAGGTTTAATACCATTCCAGTCAAACTGTCAAAATAAAAAGCTTCATGGATCAGAAGACTCAAAATCACAGGTTATAGTAAACAGCTTCTCATGTAATCAATGTTAGTTTTCTCAAATCTTAAACAAAATGTAGTATAACTGTCCAATGATTGAATGATCAATGATCATAAACTGAAAAACCCCAAACATTTGTTTATGATAAAGTAAATAATAGTATGGCGCCTTATGGCCACAGATTTTTTGTCCATTGAAATATATTTGCAGGAATGTAGGATTTCGCTGCCATATAACGGCCACGATTCCCCAAGCACTAAAGAAATCATAGCTAAAAGTCCTTCGTCAACAACAATTTTAGAAGCATCGATCTGCTTACCATACGCCATATTGACATAAACACACTCGCATAATTGACTTTGACATATTGCATTGATGCATACACTTCACTTGTCCTTTACTTACGATTTTAGATGTAAATTTCTGCTGATAAAACTCAAAACAATGTTGGCTTTCTTTTGAACATCAATGACTGAAATGTCGCCCGCGAGATCGTCTTTGCCAAGCATTTAAAATTTATCCATAAATTTTTCACCCTCTTGAAAAAATTCACCGTTTGGCAGCATTCATGTCAATATATGAATTTGTAAAAGATTTCCATAAATTCCATCTGATTGTAGTTTAGTTTCTATCATACTTATAAAAATTACTATGAAACGATCAAACATTCAATTCAGACAGTGAGCTTGACTATGTTAGTTCAGTTGGCTATCAGCCGAAATCCGTCAAACCAATCACAATAAAGCAAAAATTCAAATGAACCAATTGTAAGATAGCAATTGGACTCCCTTATACGTCCGGCCACCCTTATTATCAGTCGAGACCATTCCAGACTGTCCACTGATCTGGCTATTGACCAATAAAATAAGCGTTTTTGACGTTCATAGACTCCTTTATCCCGTCGAACCAGTCAAGCCACCCCGCTTATCAGTCGGTTATTCCAGGTCAATTAAAATTCAACTGATCTGGTTACCAACGAGATATTCATTGGATTAGTCATTAGTTTTCAATAATAAATAATGCGGGATTTTTATCACGAAGTAAATGCGGTAAGAAAGTAAGAATAATTAATGAATTTTTAATTAATATGAATAGGTAATTTTTGAATTTCAAACATCAGTCGCGCGACGGATTTGACATACTCTAGATCCGCCCCTGAAAACCGCCGAACCCAAAAGCTATTCAGTTTTCCCGTAATAGAGATAATTCAGAAGTAACAAGAGCAAGAGTAAAATGCATTAACTCTGAAGACAGCTATAACACTACTAGCTTGCATGATGCATGTTTGCACCAGGGAACTCAATATTTAAATAACTGGAATGATAACTGAAGCCAAAAATTGAAGCCAAAAAAATAATTGTCGTCATCATTCGTCATCACTCGTGTTTCTCGCTTGTTTACAAACAATTTGTATCTTTTCGGATCCTAGATTTTTAGTTTGACCTCAGTTGATTTCATTTTACTAGTCAGTTTTATCTTCACGAAGAAAATCTTTTGAATTATATTTATTTCAATTCTACATCACCCCCAGTGCAAAAGTATTATTACGTTTTTCAAATAAACTCAAAGGATTTGTTGGTATGAACTTTTATTCGACAAAATTTACATATAGATTGAAAACATCTTTAATATAGCTACTATATATTTTTGTCATTACAGTCGATATGCTCTTAAGCTGCGGTTTTCCTTTAAAACATATCAAAGTCTTTAAGGATATTCAACTATTGATATCGAGATGACAACCGTTTAGTATTTCAAGCACCATCAAAATCGATGAAAATGACAATCGCTCTGTAAAAAGTAAAAATGCGAGTTATATAGACTCAATATTTTTTTATATAACTGGATATTCAAGTTTCTTTTTTCTTCGAAAAACAGATCTTTAAATCCACTGAAATGACAAATAAAGATACTGTTTGAAAATTTTCCTTCCGATGTAAGAAAAATTTTTGCTTGAATATTTCCTCGTCATATTTTCTTATTGTATTGTCTTTATAGCATACGGTGTAGTTTTCAGTTGGCTTTTCTTCGTTACAAGTTGTAAGTTACAACGAACTCACTGTAGTAAAGTTTCAGCTGTAAAAAATAACCTTTTGCGAAGAGTTGGCCTCGTGTGTTGTTTGTCGTGATGTTGTCTTTATGTTTATCCTTTTGCAATTTGTATTCAAATTTATAATGGCCGAGTATGTTTGGCACTCATAGAAATGAAACTGACGTACAAACCGCGCAAGAGACTAGGACATAGGCTTCAATTTTATATCTATAAAATGTATTGTCGTTATCATTCCAGATATATATATATAATATTATATATATGGAGTTCACTGGTTTGCACAACTACGACATTAACAAGTTTGCACATTTAAACATTTAGTTAAAATAAAAAGTAATTGAAATAAATGTATCCTGAGGAAAGATTTTTAATCAAGCACGTGCACATGTAATTGGGGAGGGATGTTAATGTGAAATCTTGTGTTTATGCTAAAGAAACACTAGTGCTTACACAAATGTATCTAACCAAACATAATTAATTCTATTAAGTTCTTTTCTTTTTCAACAATTAATTGCTTGCCAGTTGATTCGTTTGTCCTGCGCTAGTCCTTCCTGCAATCTCTTTGTCCGTGATATCCTGACTAATGTCATGATATTGACGAAAACGTAGAGCACGACAGCAATATGAGCAACACAGTATAGACCTGAATGCCTGACGAAACTTGTTACCAAGTAGACAATAAATGATCGGGTTGCACATACAATGTAAACCGGCGAGTAGAAGCGATGGATACCATACGTATCTTAAAACAAAAATAAAACTTTCGTAAGCACAATTTATCAATGTTGACAAGAGGATCTGTAAAGATGGCTGTGATTACTTACGAGTAGATACTTCTAAAGTTGATTTCTAGCCTTTTGAGTGTATACAAAACATTGTAAGGCGTCCAGGCAATAATGAAAACGATCAAAGATATAAGAAGCATTCGAATCACTGATCTGCGTGAACTATACAAAGCAGCATTATTGCCACCAGCACCAGGAATTATCTGCAAAAGTATGACAATTGATAATCAACAATTATTAAGCAAGATATCAGGAATCATTCAGAACGAGTTAAAAGTTATTTGACAAAGCAAAGCTTAGGCGGAAAACAATAAACGAGGTCTGAATAATTCTTGATATTAATAGAAAGTCGAACTTATAATAATCGTTTTATCATTGACTTCAACTAAGTGAAATATTATAAAAACATATAGATGTAAAACATTTTTAAAACCTCCGCTAATTTGTCATTCTGCGACGGTTCATTCAATTAAGTTCGTCTCGTTTAAATACTTTGCAATTATGTTCAAAGCCAGCTTCATCACTTTTATTGTTTTCTGCATTCTTTTTGTTCAAAAGCTTTTGCAAACTATGCTATTATTTAATCCTTTTCAAAACCGGATTTTAATGTCGTCAACAATAATTGTAGATATTGTTATTTGTAGAAAAGACTTTATTATTACAAATACCATCGTTGTATGAAAAGATAGGATCTGAAACCAAACTGATGTTTCGATACAAGGTTATTTTTTGTAAAATGTTTAAATATTTGGTTATATAAAAGATTTGTCATGAATTTACCAAACACTGGCAGGATCGCTATTTGCTTGTACTTATCTAACATAACCGAAGGCACGATATAGTCGAAATTTAACATGATCAAGTAGTAGAACTCATACAGAAACTATTCGCATTCTGAGCATCTGCAAGTTTTATATCTATCTGTCATACAGATTTAAAAAGGTGCTAGAGCATGACCTATTTATTCTCGGCGAGTATGAACCTTTCATTATTCCTAAATTCATGTTTGTAGTCGATGTTGCAAGATAAGGGTCTATAAAAATATTATTAGCTGCTAAAGGCCTGTTTAAACGTCGCATTTTACATGAGCCGAATGCATTCAAAACAAATTTAAGATAATGAGAATTTTTATGTCATTTTCTTTTGTCTTTAATGCATTCGGCGCACGTATCATGCGACGTTTGAAACGGGCTAAAGAGAATATCATAAGTGATTTGTTAAGGATTTTTTCTCTAATCGCCGAAACATCATGGTACAGCTAAGCACTTTGCTAAAATTAAGGAAGTTTTCAAAATGTGGGTAGAAAAAAATTGGCGGGGCAGAAGTGAAGTCAAGACTCTTTTATGTAATAGGCATAACGCATGAAATACAACGAACTCTTTCAGACAGTCCCAGAGCGCAATTGCGCATATAAAGTGTGTAAAAATAAATTACTCCAGAAAAGTTCGGTTAAAATTTACATTTCCAAACACTTAAAGGAAATTGGATTAGTAAATAAAATTCTTTAAAAATTTAACACCGATAATTTTGTTCTGAAGGTATTTTGAACTTAGAATTAAGCACCTAATATTTAGTTAGAATAACGCTTAATCATAGACCCGGTACTGCAACACAGTAGAATAATGAAACACTATTTCAGGCAAGAAAGATTTGAAGTACTACATTACTAGGCTATTTTTAATGACTTCTTCTTCTGTTTTTAGTGTTTGCATTCCAGAGGATAGCTAATAAATCTTCAATAGATTACTGCAGGTTTTAAAGAGACGCCTGCTCCGGTATGAAAAGAGTAGAATTGATTTTTAACTCTCTACGAGCTAATGCTTTGTGAGGTGTATGTCAAGGCTGTGACTTACTATATGTCCTCAAATAACCTGGTTTAATCAAAAGCATGATTACAAAATAACCCAACACGTACTCACAAGAGCATGCACGTGGCGAAAAAAGTTCATTAAAAGTTCTTTAAAATGAGATTCATGTGGATTTCTATCTTGGGTCTTCGTCCGGAGTGACCAAGTGTTAAAACTTATGTCTTTATATTCTTTAAGTCTAGTGTATTCATCATTAAATGGTATATAGGTCAGTTTAAGGGGTATATAGGTTAAATTTCTTCCATACTAACCTTTCTCAGCCTTCGAATAATCGTGAAATAGAGAGAAGAAGCAACCATACAAGGGACAACATAAAAAATAACAACGATGCCAATGCCATAAATGTTCTTCGCTTTGAGACTTGGCCAACGATAAGTACAATCACAGCTGAGTACATTCCCATTTTTATGGAGTCTATATCCACAAAAATACAATGTGGGAAAGTATACAACAACAGCAGTAATCCAAATCGAAGGAATAATATATTTGAGTCGTTCCTTGAAGTACGTCAGTGTGGTTAGTGGTCGACAAATGGCACAATATCGTTCAAATGAAATAATGGTGACAGTGATGCATGAAGAACCATAAGGAATGTTTAACAGATTGACCTCAAATTTGCATCCAATATTCCCTGTATTCAATAAAAAGGGAAAATCACTTCGATTATGATGAAAATTGATAAATGAACAGTAAAGCGTGCCAAAAACATGATGGATGATTAAAAAACGCAATGAGTAAAAAGAGACGTGACCTTCGTTTTTAGGCAGAAAAGTTTATTTGTCACGAAATTTTAGCATTAAGAAATTAAATAAATTATGACAATACACCAAAAAAACGCTCTAAATGAAAGCATTTCATCGTTGAGCAATGAAGAATTAAGCTTGATGAAACACTCTACGAACTGTATCAACTTGTGAACTTAACATTTGATTAGATAAAAAGACTCATGAAGACTGCATGTGAACAATCTTGGTGTAAGTCAAAACTTGATTGCAAGTGGGAAAACAAAATGTTTGGATTTTCGTATGTGAAAAAGACAGAGTATAATTTTGATGCAATACCGCGACAATAAGTAAAAAATCGTTGTTGGAGTTAATATCATTTTAAGTACACATTCGCTCTTATATTCAACATTAACATCCCTTCAAAGGCAAAAGTACCGATTAAGTACCGAGTCGTTTGAGAACTGTACTTTGTTAATTTAGTATTCTTCTTAAATTTGTTTCTGTAACTTTTCGTTAGCTTTTTATGTATCTTTACTTAGTAATAATAGAATAATAAGACGGGTATTTACCACATAATGTTATGCCTAAAAATGTTCATTGAGTTTGTCAAAGTTTTTATACACGAGGAGAAGGAAATAAGATAGGTCATGTGATATTACGACATTAATTAAGTATGTCATCATAATATATTCTAACACTTTGCGCACGCCTCATGTGAGAAACAACTCACATGTTGACAATGGTTAGTGTGTTGAAATAAAATTATTCATTCATTCATACTTTAATCCAAAAACGCAAAAACACGAACAACATGATCAATCAAAAGGAAAAAGCTCTTCTAAAATAAAATCGTGACTAGCTTTCCGCCATGAATGGTACGACTGGCTTGCGCATGCGTGGTACTGGCTCTCGTACAACTCCGTAATGACGAAGTAAAATTACGTAAATCATCACATAAATATTGTATAGTAACATAAAAATATGGGTTGTATTTAATAAAATGTAAATTAGCAACGAATGAAATTCTTAATTAAACAATTATGAAAAAAAGTACGCAGTGCAAACATATAGCCTGGTAAGTATTTGGTCTCAAAATGAACTAGTTTGATGAACATAATTCAAATAACACGTACTTAAATAATTTACGTCAAAATTTAAGATAGAAAAAGTGCTGTTTGCTCACTGTAAAATTATATAACCAATTAAATGTCATAACTCACATCTACATTTGCAAAACGCTTATATTCCATGTCACGTGACAGCTTACCAGCTCAAATCATTGAAAGTTAGGTCCTTTATTACGAATTTTAAATTTATTTTTATTGTCCTTAAAACAATTTTAACTTTAAATATCATATCGTCAACAACTTATCTTTCAAAATAATTTTAAAGCGTGTATGGATGCAGTTCACTCGACTGTTAACAAATTTAAGCGCACAATATTTGCATTGAATTTGCATGGAAATCATATTGGTATTTCTATTTTTGGAAAATTGGGCCGTGCTCTTTTATTGCTGTTATTGTCTAAGAAATTTGAAAGTACAATATATCTGACGATTTATGCATGTTGAAAGAGAGTACAATTATATCAATAGTATCAAGGAGTTAATTAAAATTTAATTGTAGCAAGTGTAGAAAGCAAGTGATCAGCGAGTGCCATAAGTTTCTTCAATTTTGCGTTTGAACATATTACGTATTTATTGTGACGCATACTGGAATGTGCACAGATCATCAAATTGAACATAACTGAAACGCTACCTATAGATTGTTTTGATAAAGCCAAATTTTGGCTTTATTTGGCTTCATTTGGCTTCATTCGTGATTTACTCGCGGGAACGTTGTGAAGAAAAGAAAACTTTTTGCTTGTGGAGTACGAAACGAATTTAAAAGATTTGTTTTGTTTATTGTACGATTTTTAGTTAAAATTTTGTGGTTGGATGTAATGTAGCGTGTTTTCACACAAACACAGTATGATTTTAAAGGAAAGAGGTTGTCGACTGACTGGAAAACAGACGCTATTAACCGAAACAACTTTTAAGGACGTTAACAGTTGCAAATTTAAATGAAAAAATTTAATAACAGAATTTCGCTAACATATTTTTATGTGCATACTTTCACATGTGTACAATTTCATATTTAATGTATTAATATCTCTAAATAAAAAGAACGAATAACGAATTTTTCATCTTGACAATGAAAAAATGACACAAAAGCTGTACGTTTTTTTTCACAAAGTGATAGTCCTTTCATTCATCATTTCCAAACGATGAATCAAGGTTAAATCAAGAATAACCAGCCTTGGTTAATGATCCCAAATACGATTTATTTCCTTAAAATAAAATTTTTTGAGAAGTTTTATCGGTGTGTTGCATTAAAGAAGTTGTTTGACCGTGTGTTATTTGCGTGGAAAGACTGGGGAGAAACGCCTTCCATATTACAGGGACAGGTAGCGTTCCAGTTATATACATTTTAATGGCACAGACAGACCAAAGGAAGGAACGCATATATTACGGTATAACACAGTGGTTAGCCTGCGAACAGGCTACCCACAAAAAGCAAGAAATTCGTTAATAACGTATAGCGTCATTAGAACACTAGTAGGCAGTATAAAACGATAAAAGTTTTATTTCATTCGTAGAAACATTCTAGTTTTTTTAGCCTATAAATGTAGTTTTTCAGTTTTTTCATATAAAGATCACGTAGGTATTTACGTAGGTACGAAATTCAACCTGTGGGCAAGCATGTTTCAATTATATTAAGCTGCCTGTGTATCTTTCTTTCAATCTTTCTTGTTTGCATATACTATTTCAACTGAACACTACACCCAATAAAACTTATTAAGTCTTGCAAAAAAGAAAAATAATTTTTATGGGCGAATGAAGCACTTATAGATTAAAAAAATTCATGCCCGTATTGTGTGGCCTACTTAAAAGTGAATAATGTAAAAAGCGCTTTTCAAAATTGTAACTTTGTACAACAATTGCTACTTGTAAGGATAATTTCTGAAGCTTAGATTGCGTGACTACACCCTCAGGTATAGTTGTTGAAACTTCACTCCCCAGTTAATGCACTTAAGATAGGTAAATAAGATAATTATAACTAATATTTACGGTTAGTCTTATTATGGTTAGAGTTAGGTAAGACTAAAAACTTTAACAGCAAAAACAATGTGCTTTATTAAATACACAAACCGCTTGCTGAGACTTTTAAAATGCTTGTGGTCAAAAATGCTTTACGTTATAAGTAATCTCAAATTAACAACAAATTTGATCATCCCCAATAAATGGCCCACTTTGTTTGTCTTGCTGTCAACATACTAGCTGCTAGTGATAGAACCACTCTCTTATAAGATTAAGATTTTTTCCCTTTTCAAATATTGTACTTCTCACATACAGATTAAACTTGCAATTTGCCAAGATTTTTTAATCTTAGACATTAAACACACACGACAAATTTTTTTAACTTTTTAGTGCAAGTTTCGCCATACTTATGCTATTGGAGGAATAAAATGAATGAAATATTTATATATAGTTAAATTTATAATGAAAACTGATACATGACATGTAGAAAAACAAGGATATGAATATGTGGAACGTGGATATAGACATAATGAAATATGAAACATGATACGTGGATAGGAAGTTACTTACATGAAACACACTAATATTGTCAAATATAAAAAAACATTTAATAAAAACAACAATTTTGTCTATCTCTTTTGGCTATCCAGATATCATGTATTATATTTCATGATAAATTAAACTCATTGATCTGCACTGAAGATGGCATAAGTGTGCACATACAAGTATGAATCCATAAAGTTAAAACAAAGTTGTCATGTTAAAATGTCTGATTTCAATCCTACTGCTACAAAATAATGAAAATTTTTAATCTTTACGAAAGTTAAACTATTCTCAAATTTCTACAATGTCTGTTTTTTGTACATTATAAATATACATATTTCTCAGAGGAAAACACAATTCTATGCAGAAGGAATTGACAACCGTAATCCTGTATTAAGCCAGTTGGTAATTTGGTTTAAAACTTTAAGCGCAATAAAACTTAAAAGAATATTATATATGGAAGCTTTAAAAATATTTACTAGCTCTACTTGAAAATACTTAACCTCTTGCCCCTCAAAATATTCTTTAATGTGAACAGAGGGAAATGCTAATGTTTTCATAGTCAAAAACCTCTATTTCTGCTTTGTTCATTAATGAAACAAAACTTTGTCGCAGTCATGAATGAAATTTTACAAAATATTACAAGTGTTATTATTACTTATAAGTAATATTATCATAAATGTCAGATCATAAATGATCTGACTTGGTGCATATTTTTAGTAGCATGGCCAAGGAGGGAACTGAGGTGGAGGTGTACCAATTATCCCAAAGACAAAAGTTGAGATTGAAGTTTGAGGTGAAATAAATCCAACTTCGAACAGTGATAAAAAAATGTACTTTCTGTAAATGGCACATAGCAAATTATGTATACTAAACAACAATTGTAGAGCATTGTTGTCTGTAATATTGACTTTAATACATTTGCTGACACATCAAACAAAATGCTGCCCCCATTGAAGTTTCCTAGATTTAATGGTTGCATCCCCCTAGTATGAACAACCTAACACTGTCACTACATGATCTTAAGGATTATTGTGATGAATTGCACCTAGAATATCTTTAGAGGGCCTAAAGTAGGCCTTTGTAGGTAAATGTTTATGTCATTTTCTAAAGTAATTGATAACATGGTTTGAAGTGTTAAATGAACAGTTAATACCATCATCATTAAGTTATGTCCTAAATTTGTTACTTTCACAATCCAAGGTGTTTCCACTGTGAAGATATTACATAGTGTAAACATGCTAGTTTAACCAGTTAATTAGTTAACAAGTTTGATGTTTCAAATTTACAAATATTTTCACAAAAATACACTAATGGCGCTTTTGAGCAATAAAAAATAAATCATGATGAAGGATATATAATTCATAGTCCATAAATCAAATTTCAAAAAACATTCTGGGAAAGGAAAATGGTCGATTAACTACACAAAATACAGAACCAACTTTCCAACTCTTTGTTCGCAACGATATGCGCTATCGCTGACTATTATTTTGTATTAAACCAGTTTCTAAGAAGAACAGAGTAAATTTAGACATAATATAAACTTACCCAAGTGTAAATCTTTCACAACAAGATCAGCAAATTCAAATGTGCTCGAAAGTGCTATAAGTAGATCGCTTACCGCTAAATTTACCAAGAGAAAATTTGTAGAATCGTGCATCCGGCGATTTGTGAGTACAATCCAGCATACAAGACAATTGCCCAAAACGGCAAACAGAATAACGAAAATATATATTGGTAAATATATTGCAAAAGGTTTGTTGTAAACTTTCGTAGAGTTAGCAGTAACGTCATTCAAAACTATTCCATTGATTTCTAACATAATGGTTTAAGCAGTACAAATTCCGTATGGTATACTCAACGCAAGATACGAAAATTTCTCTACATGAGCTATATAATTTGCACTTCATCATATAGCAAGTATTACTTCCGGTGAAAAGCGTGTTTTAAATCGGAAATTAAACGACACTTTCCTGGAATCCTGGGAGCAGGGGCGTCACATTGACCTACAATTTGGGGTGTAGCAAATATTTACCTGAAATTTTATTGTTTTCCTAATATGCATTTTCGCCGAATTATAATTTTTAGTTAACATGCGTATAAGAGTTTTAGGTTTAGAGGGTAGTGGTTTACTTGTCCAAAGTTCAAACCCCTCTAAAAGCCATTGTAGTAATTTTTAATCACATGTATTATCAATTGGTCGTGCAAACTATTATCCACCGATTTGTAAGTGAAAATAAAGGACATACTGCCATACCAACTTCCTACTTCACAAATGTTAAGATATGCTCAGATATTCTTCATGTAATTAGTAAATAATTAAGTCAAGTGTAACTAACTAAATGATTATTTTAAGAGATACTTATGTGCAATAATCACAATATTTTTTACAGTTCCTAATAGCTATCCGTTGATTGTAAATTAACCATATTTAGTAAAGAAACAAATATATCCGTGCGTAATATCTTGTATAAATAGAAGTAGTTTAACTATTGTAAGATAGATCGTAGACCATAGACATTGACGTTGAACATTAAATGTGATCATAACAGTTATCTGTAATATCTCTATTTGTTGGTGTAAGTCAATATATACTAAAGAAGGTAGATGGTTACATCACAGAACCTAACAACAAAAACATTTTATAGAATTTATACGTCTTTACACCATATTTAGTTTTATAAAGAATTGCATGACTTTATGCACAATTTTTCTTTTTTCCTCGACTATTTTGGAGGAGTTTTGGGAAGTTTTTAAAATTTAAGGGACAGTTGCATTCCCTTACTCCCCCATTTCGTACGTCTAACGTGCTAACTGATAGCTTATTACTTCATGCACACTACCATACTTCATGTAAATTACTATTTCTCAAACCAACTATACATTCACAAAACATCATAAAAATAGCGTACAAAACACACCACATTTGAAAAAATGTAGGTCTTCTTTTTTAAAAGCAGCTTTCTTTAGTTTGTCTGGCAAGAAACCAAAAGTCAGAAGTGGCAATGAATAGAAAAGAAAAACACCAAAAAGAAAATCACAAATAAATTTCAATTGTCCGTGTGGCCTTCATAAATTAATGTTTGTATAGTTTCAAAACTTGACGTTACTAAGGGGAAACTCATTGTTGCTAAGGCGTACGTACCCGTTAAGTTATGGAAGATATTGTTCTTATTTAATAAATAACTGCGACATGTTGAAATTTAACAAGTATGGAAAGACATCTGAAAGCGTTAAATTCTATAGTTAGATATAAAAGCTTAAATTGATATTAGTAAGACATAGTTTGTTTTTGTATTAAACTCGGGGAGCAGCACTTTGTTATTAACCAATACAATCTAAGGTTTACATCTTGGCATCAAATAGATAGCTGTTTAGTAACGTCAAGCTAGCCGTTAGTAACGTCACGTTTTGAAACTATAACAAACAGCACAGCCAATAGCAAACTGCTGCATAGTCATCACCAGAGAGATGAATCAAAAACAACTTATTAATTTTAACGCCAAAAATATTACTATCTGGTGTATCTTGCTTCATTCATTGCAGTACGTCACAGTTATAATACAAGTTAAGAAGAAGCAAACTCCCTCTCTCCCATGTGAATTTAAAAGAACAAGTGACAGAGTTGTTCTTACAAAAAAATCAACAATATATTCCATCATCATCCCCACTACGCTATGAAAATCACCCTACTCCGGATGAATAGAGTAAAGTTTGATCGGGGTCTGATAATTTCATTTCATTTTTAAGGTTGTAAAATGGATAAGAATGATAACTTGTTACAAAACGAAGACGCACTGCAAGAGCTCATGAAGAATTCAAAAGTTGTATAGTTCAAAGGCTGCTTAACACGATTCCGCATGTTGGACATCTTGGATTTACAACAGGGATAATTGCAACAACATTTTTCGCTCCGCTTCTTATGAAGCGCTTATCGTAGTAGTTTTTGAGTTTCTCTCGTTGTAGCTTATTCTAGGTACATAGGGATGATTTTAGATGACCTCGAGCTGGTGCAACCCTTGAACTTTGTTCTCGGGCTTGCACTGATCTGCTCTCAAGTTCTCCCAAAGGTTTTCTCAGTTTGCATAAGCCGGTACAAACACAGTAAACATCTTTTATTTCTTAAATAAAGTGTAGTACACTTTCAATTCTCTTTTCCAATTAAAAATAAGATAAAAATATTAAATGTTGTGTTAAATAATATTGACTCATTTTCAAAAGTGCTAACATGACCTTTTTAATGGGTTAGCTAAAGTTTTTTTTATGTGTTATGTTAATGAATTTTACATATGTGATATAAAAAAGACCTGATCTAAAATCGTTGAAAAAGCCTCTCAATCAAACTTTTTAAATGGTCATCTCAGACTCATCAAAACTCCGTATTTTATTTTGTTATTTCAACCCATCAGTTTTTACACTATGGTGAATATTTGCTCCGTCAGATTGAAGGGCGGTTTTTATTAACATGGCCTGATTTTACCAGCAAAATATTTTAACAAACTTGATATAATAGTAACGTAATATAAACTTTAACAATCGAAATAGTTGTCATAACTATAAAATTTGTAGTAGCGAGAGACGTGCCGAGCGGAAATCGAATTTGTATGATAAAAATTAATATGTTTGTAAATGATGATTGTCCAGGTTAATAAAGTCCTGAGAAGGACTGTTTTTGTTGTTGTTGACTGACGTTTCGACAACCTTAGCGGTAGTCATCTTCAGAGTCAAATAAGGAGTAAACGTCATGTTAGCCGTATTTGTTATCTGGTTCTTACGTCATTGTATTGTGTGTACAGGAAATGCATATTGTCATTGTGGATTAGTGTGAAGTGAAATATTTTAAATATAATTAATGCCCAACAATAAAAATTAATGCCCAACATAAAGCTTTATGAAGCTTTAAATAGAGCCATTAAGATAAACCAAAAATGTAAAAAAGAATATGAACTTGATTTTATTGTAACGTTTGGTCTTTATTGAAGACATCTTCAGACAAGTAGTTCATATAATTAATAAATCGTTAAGACAAGAATTTATGTTTACATAAAGTGTTAAATTACTAAAGGAGGCGGTGTCAAATGGATTACATGATAAAAAAATGAGGAAGTAGAACATGGTGAATTAAAAGAAGTTAAGTGGAATGGAACTCCCTTGCACGTTAAGTGAGGGCTTGTATTTATTGATTAGGATGCTCGCGTGAATAGAGAGATATTTAGGACTAAACAATTATATTCAGATATTAATTAAATGAAATTAAATGCTGCAGAAATTATCGCCGTCGCTAAAGAATTGACAGGCCAAAATATTAACTGATAGCTGACAAATAAGCTAAAGTTTAAATGACAACACAAGCGAAACCCCCATTTAGAACTTTGAATAAAATTGGCTGATGATAAATGTATATTTAATTGCACATAATTGAAGTCACACAGTGGAGAGCATTTCAATTTTGTTGGGCTCATGTTTTCTCGTGAAAGGAATGTCATATGAAAGAATGTTATATGCAGTGCGTTGTTTTGAAATTAAATGAAGATATGATCTTCGCACTTTGCTGGGCAAAGTACTTGATTGACTATTTCATAGCTCAGTTGGTCAGAGCACTACACTGGCACCGCAGGGGTCATGGGTTCAAATCCCGTTGAGTCACCTGAATTTTTCAGGTTCATGAGACAATTGCTTAAATTGTCCAGCAAAGTGCGAAGAACATATCTTTATTAAACTAGTTGTTAATATTATAAACAGCTTTTACTTATCTGCCTCGTGTACCATTAAGTGATAATATATCTAGGCAGACTTTCTCTTTGTGTGTTACTTAAATCTACCAGGAGTTGCCCTAAAAAGTGAGAAAAACTTCAAAATAGCTCACCCATACCAAATAAAAAACTTTGAACAGTATATTTTCATGGCATTTATTACAAAGATATACAAATAAAAACGTACATGCAAAATGCAAATACATAAGTGCGATTCAATCACCTAAGAGAATAAACAACATAGATAATAATACAAGTTTTTCAAAGTACAATTACTTAAAGCTATGTCAACTAAGTAATGAATGATTTTGACTGCAGAACGACTCATTTTGAGCTCTTTGGCTTTTAACGATGGAAAGGAAAAGAGCGAATCTTTTCACGTAAGCCTTGTTGATAAAATAAACTCGTTGCAGGAGAAAACGAAGTTCTCCTGGTAAACTGTCATCACCAATAAATTTACTGAGTTCCTCACAGTGAATTATATAATTGTAACGTCGTATAAATTTCCCAATAGAAGCACTGACAAGTCTCCAATTAAATATAAGTCCACAAACTGCCAAGAAAAACATATAAATTTTAAAAATCCAAGATAGAGCCGCAGCTAGACGATAAGAGCACAAGAAATAATCGTGATGGAAGGGAATGTGTTGAGTCAATGTACACTTTATAGTGCCTTTTGGAGGTCTTATTAAGAAAATCGATATGTAAATAAAAGAAGAAACTGATATCGATTGAAGAAAAGATTGTAGTTCATAATAAAATGGAATGCTAAAAAACCACGAAGATGAAAGGTTTTCATTTAGTGATTTAACTTTTTCATACAAACCAATCACCGTATTTTTGGTGGCACTATCTGGAAGAGAATCAGCATTGTTGGATACATTGTCGGCGTTGTTGTCATTGATTGGGTTTTCCAAGTCACCTTCATTTTCAATGGAATTATGAGGAGATAATATACGAGTGATATTATTATCACGACATTGGCAATTAAAACATTCAATCATTACATCTACAAATGTTTCAATTCTTGACGAAGTAAAAGGAATTTTCAGCCAGAGACCGTCCAAGACCAACAGGATGAATGCTTCAATGAATAAAACTGCCCATAAAGCAGTAAGAGAGTCATGATTGCATTCTGAATTAACAAAGTTTTGGTATACAGTGTTTATGTTATTATCTGAAATGACTTCCGTTCTTTTGACAAAGCTTGTATTTTGAGACTGGTAAAAGTTTAAGCAAATTTTGGGAAATTTCAAATGTTCTGGTGACCATGATGAATTTGCTCTTGATTTTAATGCACTGGGACAATCAACAACTGCAAGACATTCGAAACTGCCTGATGTTATTTGTGCAGAGGTCATAAGAGCGGACAACGCCAGCTAAAGTTTCACAGAACCAGCCATTACGACATCCCAAAAATTTGTAAGAAATTTGAACTTTTCTTTTCCACCATTATAGAAAGATTCCCAAGATAACATCGTGATGAAGTTGTTTAGAGTTGATAGTAAGTTGTTTAGAGTTGATAGTCTTTAGTAGTTTCCATTGAAATCAAGTGTGGTTATGGATCAAATAGCAAACGTCGCTTTCGAAGTAAATAGCGCACTTTCACTGGCCCAGAAATATTTATAAACCTAATGACACAGCAGTTATTTTTACACAACTACACAACAATATATGCCGTAAAGGTTTTTTACAATTCTTGAAGCAAATTAAAAATCTATGGATGACGTGGACAAATAGCATTGAGAACCGAGTTTTACCATGTAAATTACGCGTTTCAATATTCAAGCATTTCGAAAAGTAATCAAATACGTGTGTTGCTTTTCTCAAGTAAAAATGTCTTATGCCATGCATGCATGCAATAAATATTTTATAAATATATCTTCCTTAGTTGTTACCAAAAAATATATACAATCATTTGCCTTTAGTATAGACCTCACCTTTGTTTATTCTATCACTTCATACTGATGGTGGCGTGTAATATTTTGCTCATAAAATGATGAAATATTTATTAAATATTTTCTAGTATGATGTAGTCTAAATCTTATGTCAACATCCGTTTCAGCTAAATTTATGATGGGTAAGAGAGCTACACTAATAGAAATATTCGATTATGACAATATAATAAGTGCAAAAAAGTGTTTGGCGTAACACTAAAAGTGCTTGTACTGAGGTTATAATTATATTGCAACAAATTCTTTCTGGAAAGATGGCCTGCTCTTTTTTCGTATTTTTCCATACTGTTTGTTGCTTTTGTATTTGTAATGTGCACAGTGTACAGTTACTGAACCATAAATTGTTTTTAGAATACATTAGATTTTCCATTGTATAAAGAATGCCTTGTATTTTTTGCGGCATGCATATGATTGAGAGCTTTCTGGTTAGGATTTGCAAAAACGTTTTTTCGTTTTTGGTTTTGTTTTTTTGGGATTGATTGGCTCAGAAACGTTTTTGGTCATAATGTAAAACATTCCACACGACATAATTTTATTAATATGTCAAAAATATATACCGAAGAAAACACCAATGAGAGTTTTGATCTAGTTGAGAAAAATGCAGTAAACATTTTTTACAATTCCAAAAGCTATGTAGAAAAGTATAAAGTTGAGTGAAAAAACACTAGGACATTGAGTTTTACTTCGTGTTTTGCTTTTCTCACGTGCAAATGTCTTATGTCATATAAATACTTATAAACCTTTATTTCTAGGTAATTACCATAACGAAAAATACAATTCTCTGTGGCTCTGCCCTTTAGTACAAACCTTTCCTTCATTGAAACTGTTGCTAACTTTATGCTGATGATCGCTTTGTAAAACATTGCACAAAACATGATAGAAAACTGATTAATATCTTGTTTTCTGTTATCTCCCTTTTTCAAAAACAGAATTGTTTAATCTTACATGTACATCCGCTTCAGCAAAACTCATGATAACTAAGAGAGCTACATAAAGAAGAACATGACATTATGATAAAGTCATAATAGCAGATCAGTGTTTAGCGTAACATTGAAAGTGTTTGTTGCGAGGTAATGTTATTTTGCAACGAATTGACGTCTTTGGAAAATGGCCTGTTCTAGCTTCTTTTCTATGCTGGTTAGTTCTGTTGTATTTGCCATTATGTACAGGTAAATTTTAGCTGATTCTTAAAACACACCAAGCCTCTTCATAGAGAAAAGATTCAATGCATAAGATTTAATTTGTTGGGTTTTTGGTTTTGGCTTTTGGCTTTTCTAAAAATTCCCCGCTTCGATTTGCTGCGTTTTCTCCTTTTAAAAAGGAAACTGAACAATACAACTTGAACTCAAACATAAACATGACCGAGGGCAAGACGAGACGACAATCACATTCAGCGTAATCCAACGTATGCCGAGCATTGCTAGATTTGTAGCTAAATGTTTTCTCTAGTTGCTGATATTATATCATGCACTCTTCTGAATGCTGAAGTAACAGGAATCACCATAGTAATTTCTTCTTTCTGCCTACAAGCTGGACGCCATCAAACGAAAGGAAAACATAAATTTGACGGTTCTTTAATGACCAAAATTATTTTCGATCGAATCGTATAAACAAGACCAAAAAAGACCAATTTTACGGTTGCCCTAATAGCAGCAACTTACTTGTGGCTACCTAATTCATGCTGATTTAAAAAATCAATCATGTTCATCAGCAGAAGCTAACACAAGCAGTTTTTCCAGACGTCTTTGTCTTTGTTTTTTTTGGCAGAAAATTATTGACTATTTCAAACAACCCTTGTTTAGTTAGCTGGAATTGTGTCTTGTAGTCAATCAATCACGATAATTTTGTTCCGCGTATAATTTTTAACGTATGTGGCTATGAATTGAATGCGAAGTGTAGCTGATTATTTAAGAGTAGAAAGGGCAAAATGACTGCTAACACGTCTACATAAATTTTTGTGTCTGTTTTTCATCATATTAGTGCAATATTAAATATGCAATTATTAGTATATACATATAAACGAACTGGTCTTCTTCATAATGAATTGACACAATTGGCATAGTGTGTAATTATTATAATCCAATTATTCCCTTAACTTGGTATTTCGAAAACATGCTATAGGCTTGTTTAGGATGGAAATCGAGGAGTTATTTTACCATGTTTAAACTCAAAATCAATCACGATCTACTTCAATCACCCAGTACAGGCTTAATTAAGAAAAGATATCAAGATATCTTTTTTACTGAACCCTTCCTCTCCCATACAGCGTTGTCGTAAGGCAACAACACGGAAACCAACAAAAATTTGAAAGAATAAAAATTGAGAAGTAATTAAAGGGTTGACTAATGACGGCATTTGCATTGAAACAATGTCTGTCGACGAGATGATGATCTATTGTTGGGTTGAGTACAACACGTTTTATTATGCTTTAAGTTTCATATTCGCTATATAAATATTCTAAGGTAAAGCAATTACATAACAATGGGTATTTTATTCAAAAACCAAAATAACTCTGAGATACCTGGTCACTGGTGATGCTTTATAACTATATCAGCCAGCTTTCGTTTAAGCGTCTTAACTATTGGTGAGTGGTTGATTTTATTCACTTGTTCCATTGCGTGCACGATAAGAAAGTCGAAATTTTTCAAATCTCAAAGCGTGTGCGCTAGCGTCCATGAAATCCGAGAGAAGCCAATGACGTAGTTTATAGCGCATGCTAAAACGTGTTTGCCCTGCACGTCCGGGCAAAGCGACCGAAATGGAAACTGGCCTTTAAGTGTTTTGTAGATCTTGACAAACTCGCTAATTAACATACATTTTCCATCTTAAGACTGTCATTACATAAACTAAAGTGATTTCCCCGGACTTGTCTTGCTTTACTGCTCTTTATTACAGTTAAGTAAATGACGACTTTTTTGGCCAGCATAGCACAAACTATATGGCGGACATGTGATTTTACATACAACTCTACTTTTAAGTAGCTTCTTAAATGGTGTTTTTAACATAAAGCTAAATAAGATCAGATCCAAGCCAATTGTGCCAGTTGTTACAATGCTGTTTTATGAGGGAACAAATTCTATAATTCCTTCATTAATCCCAACGTTGCCTTATTCTTGAAAACAAACTTAAACTTTGGTATTCCTTGGTGCCTTTCAACGAGGTAACACTTTTGTAGGATAACGTAGGCGAATAATTTCAAGTAAGTTAACTTGAATGAAATTATCTACAATGAACTAATAACATGATCTTTGCTTTACAAGCTTCTGTAAAATATAATCTTCATTTGACTTTTTGTTATCACTGTAAAACCATGATTCAAACTGACAAGGCAGGAAACAAAAAGCAATTCAACAGTGTTGTTATGAAGTGTTGAAAACAATATGTGATTTTGTTTGTTCTTCAAAGTCGTACATTTTGTTTCTTTTTAAGCTAAAACATAAATATAATATTCCTATAGTATTATTCATATTTTGTTCAAGCAATTTTTGGTACTGATGTTTCCAAACTTCACATGGAGTAGATAGCAGTTATATGACTAGTAAATTATTAACATAGTGTAAAGATATATTGTGTTTGAGATTTCATAAACAAAAGTCTTATGCATTGGAATTTCTATTTAGATTTTACTTATTTACCAGCACAACTTAGTCGCTCAAACTTCATTCATGGGTACTTAAACAACAAATAATATTGTGTTTTAACGACTTCTTAGGAACAGCTGGTGATTCGTTTAAAAGTTACCACAGAGGAATGGCCTTTACAACTAAAGACTCTGACAACGATAAATATTCTTCAAGAAATTGTGCAGTTACTTATAAAGGCGCATGGTGGTATAATAAATGTCTTGTTTCTAATTTAAACGGGATCTATCATCATGGTAAACACTCTTCATACGCTGATGGTATTAACTGGAAGGCATGGAAAGGCTTTTACTATTCATTAAAATCTACATCCATGAAAATAAGGCCTCGTAATTTTTCATGAGGTAGTAATCATTTAAGATGGAAATAAAATTTTCAGACTGGTGTTTACGTTCATATTTCTTATTCTTAGTGTATTTTAGTCCAAATTCGCAAATGGTTTAAGGAAATTTGTTTTCATTCATTTACGTAGATTTTCATTAGACATTTGTTTGCAACATAGCTATTATTTTGTTTTTTGTTACAAATTTGTTAAGAAAAATCATTTTCCTTAAATATTGTTTCAATACCGTTCACGCACAACGTCTTTCTTAAAATAACTCTTCATGAGTAAATCCTAACAGAGGTTTTATTGTTAACGATACTTCACTACTGTTTTATAAACAGAAATGTGATTATGCAAAGTCTTCAATTCGATTCGTGTAATTACTTGATTGTAGACGATTGTAGGTGATATTTGTTGTGAACACTACCATGTCAGAGTTTGCCTTGAACAACTTGAAAACAAGGGATTTGTTGAGAGCTTAAATGCATTTTCAAGTGTTGTGGTTATTCTTAGATTACTTTCAAGCTCTCACTTCTTCTATAACATTAAAACATTAACTTTTCTTCATGGTCAAACTGCACAGTTTTTAAGTGGTTTTTGGCAGACTTTTAATAAATTTGATGCTTTTTTTGTAGTGTGAAAAAGCTTTGTTTTTAATTTAATAACGCAGCGAATTTTTTAAGTTTCAGACACGTTTGACAAGGACTGTGAGAACTTTGATGTTAAAGAGTGATAATGGAGTTGTGGAGGCATAATTACACCTTTTGAAACTTTAGTAGAAGCATTATTAGACTCATTGGGCGTGGCTCCTACTGCGCATGACATGTATCAACATTACGACGCTTTCCGTAATGTGTATTTTTAATAATACTTACTTGAAGAAGTCTTACATGGGAGAACACGCTATAATACATTCCATTCTTATAATTAATAGAAATCTCATTTTTTGCACCCCAGAAAAACAATAACTCAAAAAGATAAAGAACAAATATCCGGTTCTAGTTTCTTTTTGCATGATTTTGAAAACCTAGAAAGAACAGATGAGATAAAGGACATAAATATATAATCATACCTAATGTGGTTAAACATCAATACTCTCATAGAGCTGTGTAGAATATACTTTCACAATAAACTGAACACCCGTATGCGTTTTATAGATACGAATAATATGATGTGAATAACAACAGTAAAGCTAGTCATGTTCAGCATGCTTGAAAAGTTTCCCAAAATTTTCAATATTTTTCGAAATTATTTCATCAATGTTTCGGACGAGTTGCAATTAAGATATGCTTGTATTGTTCTGCGTCCTAATGAAGTACGTGGACACCATCTGTCGGACAAAAGCATATACGACTTTTAAGCCTTATTTCTGTTCTTATAGGCCCAATATTAGTCCAGTCAATCTACGACCAAAAACACTCTAACCTTGAACAAATTTCCACAAAAGAAATTCCAACTGATTTTGGTATATTTGATATCCCTTTACAACATATTGAAAGTCCCACAAAATCCTAGCACGGCAACATCGTGTAAATTACGTTTTATTTGAGGCATTTGGATTGAAAATCTGAGCGACATGGAAACGAGGCTCAAAAATTAATGTTTTAGATTTTATCCTTTTAGAACACTTAGTAAAGCACAAATATAAATATTATAGATTAAAAACAAGTGGATAATGATATTTTGTAAATTAATTAATATTTTGTCCTTTATTTACGTCAAAAATGCTGATCTTGCTGTTTTGGGTACTAATTTTCGCTGACTTGGTAGTTTTTTAGACAAACGCGTGTTTGAAGTACGTTTGTTTACGTATATTTTGCACGTGTTTAGATGGATATTTATTATATTTAATGTGACTTCCCTTTCAATACTTCAAATTGAAGCTTTGGCTCATTATTGGCATCAAAATGTGACGTTTCTTTGTTCTCCTCAAGGTAAGCAAAATAGATAACTTGAAGACAATGAGTTTATGAATGTATTATTTAATTGCTATTACATTTTACAATTTACAAAATACAATGTTTACATTTATAATTACCAAATACAATGTTTGCATTATAATACCGCGTTCAAAGCCATAGATACATTAGGGCTGTAAAATATCGCATAAACCAGTAAATAAAACCAGGCTTTTTTGTGTTGTCGAACACTATTTTGCTTGTGAATCATTATAGGATGGATCAAATTCTGCGTCAGTACTGTGCAATATGTAAAGAATCAATTGTGAACAACGGGGTGGCTCTAACATCTAAAGGAATAGATGGTATAAACCGAGCTAGTAAAGAAAGAGGCGATACAGTTGACGTCCGTAAAGGTGACAGCGTTCACATAGCATGTAGGAAACGATACACAAATCCATCATATATTTCTAAATCGCTACGTCAGAAGGAAGAGCGTCATCCCGTACCAAGAACCCTTCGCTCACAAAGTTCAGTTCAGTTCGATTTCAGAAGAGATTGCTTGTTTTGCGGAAATGAAATTAATCAAGAACAAGAGCGCAAAAGGGGCGTGTTGTTTGCACTGTTAGGCTATGGACATTCAAGACACTATCTTGAATGCTTGCAAAGTGAGATGCGATGA